TATTAGGGGATTTTCCACTTATGCCCCTTATGTTATACATAAATACTCTTAGATTTTTATTTTAGACATTTTATATTATCGTATGGTTTATCAACTATTTGCTACCAAATGTAGCTAGTTTATCAGCTAACTTATAAACTAACAATTGGTTTATCAATTAGTTTGTCAGACATGGTCTTAGCTTTAAATATCAAACATTGAGAACTTACATTAATAAATATCAACAATGAGGAGACTTTTGGTCCCGTAAGTCAAACAATATGGCAATAACACAGTAGAGAGAAGTGAGTACAATGTTTTTCAATGTTGTAATATTCTTTTATTAAAACAGGTTATCTTTACAAAACAAAAAACAGATGTAGAAATAAACAAAGATCATAAGTGAACAGCCTATAACTATCTCTCTTAAATGAGAGATGTATTCTCTCTTGATTACACACTACATTGAACTCACTCAACAGATATTTACATAAGAAAACTGCATTTGCACTGAAATAGTAGTGGATAAGCTGATGAACTTGGAGTTTTTAAAAATGGCAAGATATTCTCTGTTGTGCTCTTTTATTACGTATTGGTCTTCAAAGCTTCACATGGTATTTACAGACGACATCCTCTCTGATGAGACAAAACATATGACGATAAAGTATGGAGATGATATCCCATATTAGATTTCATAGCACCATTAATCCTGTTGAGTTCGCATCTATTCTTTTTGTAGTTGCTACCACCATAATACATTTTAATGCAAAGGATGATGCAATAAAAGTAAACCGTTGTTGCATTTAACGCAAACCATGTCGCATTAAATTTTGAGTAAGTTGATTGTATTTTTCAGATTGACAATAGAGGAAAAATACTTTTGAGTTTATCTTAGATTGTACATTTGTCCTTGTTGTCCCTTATGGGGACACACATATTCAGCAAGAACATATGTTGGTCTCAACCATCGGATTTGTATATGATACTAATACACATCCGACCAAACACTTAGAAAAGAAACATTCTTTGTTATCAGGTTCATATCCGATGAAATACCATCCATCGGATATCCCATCTATCACCTATCATCCTACGTCTTTGCATACTTCAAATACATGATCACTTTGGATATATATAGTTGGCATTTCTTTATATGAAATATCTTGATCAAATTGATTTAGTCATCGGATGAATAATCAAACATTCACCACATATTCATTCATATCTGATGTAAACTTCATAATGTCTATAAAATGGTAAAATTTGAATTGTAGCTTACTTGTTGGATAGAGAAATAGGTAGGATCTTTTACTTGTAAAAGTCTTATAACTATCTGTATCGATCCAAGAGCAAAGTGCCTAAAATTGAAGGCTAGTTGAAGTGAAGGTCAAGATCGTCACTAGAACGGATTGGTTTGTCATCTAGCCGAAAAGAAGATCAGTACAAGGTAAGAAGTCAACTAGTAGTCTAACAAATACTACTACTGGTAAGCCGAATCTTGAAGTACAAACTTAGCCAACAAGTTTGGCTCACCAACTCACTTAGTTCTTATGTTAGTATGAGAACATGTGATCATGCATGTCAGCCTAAGCAAGTAAAAAAGTACCATGTGAATTGTACTTTATTTGCTTTAATGTTCCCTCGGCAAACTAAAGGATGGAGTAAGATAAAAGTTTGTCTACATCAAACTCAAAGGTTGAAGTAGAGAATACTAGGATACAACCAGAAGAAGACACACAGAAAAGTTGGGCATACTACATTAAATGCAAAGATGGCTATAAATAACCACCCTTGACATACATTGCAATTCACCCGTTTTTGAAAGAATAGTCCTTGTGAGTGTTTCTGAAGGAAATTTGGTATAACATCTAAAGATCTTTCCAAGCTCATTGGATCTGAAAGAGAAACTTTCTTCACATCTCTTTTTCAGTTAGCAAATTTGTCACAATCAGATTGTTTAGGATCACATGTCTTACCTTCTTAACTTTCGCAACAAAATCTGTATTTTTTTGTTTTAATACAAGTTATAGAGCAAATAAAAAGTGAAAAATATGTTGTGTTTGTATTCAACTGCCCTTCTACAAGCACTTCATGTGTAAGTCATCACTTTCCAGACCAACAAGATCACCAAGTGATGATCCATCAGTTGGTAGACCTTTAGGTAAAAACATCTTCAACTTATGAGTTGGCCTAAATGATATCATATTGATAGTATGTCGGGCTGTGTGTACTCTTGGGAGGCCGTCTGACCCGATAGTTGATATTGTAACTATCCTGTAGTACTATAGGATTGTTGTAGGAATGCTTTATTATCTTTTTGCTGAATCATTTGTTTTGTATCTTAATCAACCTTTAAACCATATGCTTCTTTTTACATTGATATTTTCTTAGTTGATAATTTAACCTCCTAATTTTAGATAAAACAAATACCTCGAATTCGTCATTTGAAGTTAGTTTTCAAAGACCGGAATTTTGAAAAACTTTATAAGTCTTCTCTGTGGGAACGATATCTAGTACTTATACCATTATTATTTGCTACAAGATAATAGTAGTTCAAGGTGTATACTTGCACTGAATTCTATTTTTGTGTTGAAATCTAAGGTTGCATAAACCGAACAACAATCATTAGTCTCTATTTGCCTTAACCTTTGTCTCAATCTCAGTCATCGGCTTCATTCTCAACCAAAACTACCATTTTCTTTACAATTCCCTTGCCTACTTCTGTATCTCCGTCATCAACCTTTGCCATCACCTTCAAGTACATCTCTGCCATGGCTTCCATCGAGCTCCTTACCTACCACATCTCTCTTTATCTGTCATTCTCACCAAAATTATAAGGTTTTTTTTTACTGTATTCACATTTTAAGAACGTAGGGTTTGCTAGCAAATGGTAAGGAACGAAACAACGACCAAGATGAGAAAGGTAAGTAGCGTAGAATTGAAAATACAACATAAACAAATCCGTCCTTAAAATGGTAGTCAACGTTCCAGTTTTAACATGTTTTTTTTTAAACTTAATGAATCGACTTTCTTCAATTAATTCATTTCATCAAATTATTACCGAAGAAAAAAAAAACCAATCCCTATCACAATAAAATTTTACATACGTCGTTGAAAATAAAGTAAAATTTCACTCAAATGTCTATTTTTATAATTAAACTATAATAAATATTTACGAAATTGTAGTTTCGATTTGACGTCCATTTTAATAATATTATTCTAATTAATAATAATTTGTAATAATAAATGTAAGTCAAGATTAGCCGCGTTTAATTAGTCAAAATATTATGAAGTCAATTATAGCAAGGACCGAATTTGGACACGTACATAATATTCCATAACTTCATAAAACTTTATCCAAAAAAAAAAACTTGTGCATAAAATTAATGTTGCAATTACAATTAATTATGATAATTAATTACATGATTAAATTTGGTTAGCTATGTTATGCAAGTTGAAAAGGCACTTAGGTTTTATTTCAATTTTCATGCTGGTTACTGAATTTAAATAAATATTTGTAAATGTTTAGAGTTTAGCTTAGCGTATTGTGGACTCATGGTTTATGTAACACATATCATAGATTTTCAAGTTATATAAAACAGTAAAATATCACATTGTAAACCACAAGAGTGGTGTCTGATTGGTTTGAGCTTGGCTCCAAAGGTCAAAAGTATCAGGAGGTCATAAGTTCAAATCCAAGAAGGAATAAAGGTCATCTTGTGCCCACGAAGGTTCAAATGCGGTGACTCCGGGCTATCTGCAAAGTAGGTGGTCGCCTTGAGATTAGTCGGCTCACATAGCGGGTTGGATATCCAAGATAATCTAAAAAAAATATCACATTGTATCATAACAATTAGAAAAATGGGTATGAGGAAATGATTCAAATTCAAGAAAAAAAGAGTCGAATTGGAAGTTAGACATTGAGTCTTCTGGGATGACTTTTAGTTCCCTTGGTTCAAGTAGTGTACGTAATAAAGAAATAAGATGACCTTTGAGGTAAGGATTGAGGGGGGTGTATATATATCATCGTTGTGTGCATGCACGCAAATCATATCGATTCTAATAATCAACCTCAATTAATCAATGTGTCAAGTATCAATCGTAGCATCAATCACCGAATACAGAGGTATGCCTTGTGATACACTTACTAGTTCATACATCATCCATCATTTAACCCAGTACATAAACATGTAGTAGCCATATACTGAAGCAGTTTCCTAGACATCAGTGTTGGTGTCCCAACATACGTATGACATTTCATGCATAACATCTCAAAAGTTCACATGTTCACTCGCAACCAAACATTTCATGTATTCTAGTTGATAACGAATTATTTAACCAATGGTAGAATGATCCAAACAAATCTCGTCATTTGTACGTTTATGATCAATTTGTGTGGTGTTAACGTCCTCTAAAAAGGTATTTGGCGCTTAAATACCTTCTTCAATCAACATCAGTGAAACCATGATCCTCGATGACATCTCTTAAGGTCTATTAGCAACTTGGATGCAGAACTGTAAAAACGATTGTCGAACTAAAATACACCCCATAAACATGTAATTTCAGACGGAAATTTCGTAACTCGTACCTCACTTCCAATTGCAGTTATGCTTTCATAAAACTTTTCATGTGTGTGTTTTTGTGTGTGTTGGGGTTGGGAGAGGAAGGGAGGGGTAATTAAAGTAAAAGCTTTGGAATGAAGGGGGGAAAATGACATTTTATTGTAACCTGAAGGTCTATTATGTAATTTGGAGAAATGTAATTATGCTTTCAATCTGCCAGTAAAAACAATCCAAGTGTCTACTGACATCAAGACCCACATAGCCACATAGGTGAAATACCCACATAGCACGTGACCCACTCTCAAATTATTGGATAATCCAGACCACATCAGCATCCATCTGTCTTATTATCCACGTAAGCACACCTCTCTAATCCACCAATCCTGTATAAAAACCTCTCAACTGACTCCATAAATTTCACTCACCCCCAATTCCCAAATACAAAAACAACCAAACCTTTTCACCACCATCATCGCCGGCAACCACAGCCTCGCCGGAAAATGAATATTCCGGCAATCGAGTTCTGCTCCTCCGAACGCCTTCCGAATGCAAGAGTTCCTGTTCATCGCCGTCACATTCTCCATGAAAAACACTAGAACAAGTTTTATCTGTCACATTTTCAGAAGTTATCCGTTTCTTATCGCTCTAACCGAGGGGAAAGGTATCAATTTTGCTTCCTTCAAACTGATTTTCTGATCCGGCGATGTCAACACGTAACGTAGTACTTACTCTGATGCATTGATTGCGGTGTACTTTCTCCATCGATCATGAATAATTTCTGTAAAAAAAGTGAGGGTTTCCTGTAGGCATTTAGTGAATTTTTTTTGTACGAAGGAGCCAGTTTTGATTTTAATTCGTCAACAGTTCGTAACAGCCCTCTCTCCCTCTCTTCTGAGAAGAGGAGGAACTAAGTATAATTAAGGTAGATTAATTTATAGTTTAGTAAATAGCTATGCATTTCCAGATGAAGATTCAACCGATCGACAATCAGACTTATGAAGAGTCGGTTAACTGCGAATCCCCGGCGACGGTGACGGTAAAGCCGGTGTTGAAGTCTCGGCTGAAGAGGCTTTTCGATCGGCAATTCCCTAGTGTTCTAAAGAATAATTCGGAGAAATCAAACGGAGCCGGTGAAGTCAAAGATGGAGAATTCGAGCCGAGCTCTGTCTGTTTGGCTAAAATGGTTCAGAATTTCATCGAAGACACCGTTCCTGAGAAGCCGAAATGCGGCCGAAATCGTTGCAATTGTTTCAACGGAAACATCAACGACATTTCCGATGACGAATTCGATCTCTCTGCTGCTGGATTTTTTGGCGATTCTACTAATCCTAACTCCTGGTCCGGAGATTCTTTCGAAACTCTCAAGGTAAACTGCTGTTCGAAATATGCACCACACCGTATGTTTATGCAAGGTTCCATTAAATTAAAGAAAAATTGTGTGATTGTGTAGAGCTTGACGCCCTGCGCGAATGTTAGCCAGAGAAATCTCTTAGCAGACACATCTAATATTGTTGAGAAGAACAAAGCTTGCAAGCGGAAAGACGAATTGAGGAAAATTGTTGCCGAAGCATTACTCTTAATCGGCTACGATGCTTCAATTTGTAAATCGCGTTGGGAAAAATCCTCTTCCTATCCTGCCGGTACTCATCTCTCTCAATCTGTTTATTCGTTTGGTTTTAGTTTGTAATTGTACTTATGGAGGTTTCCTTCACAGGTGAATACGAATACCTAGATGTCATCGTTGAAGGCGGAGATAGGGTGTTGATTGATATAGATTTTAGATCGGAGTTCGAGATAGCTCGGCCGACCGGAAATTACAAAGCAATCCTTCAATCACTGCCGTACATCTTTGTCGGCGAAGCCGATCGTCTGCAACAGATTCTGTCAATTGTATCTGAGGCGGCGAAACTGAGCTTGAAGAAGAAAGGAATGCACATTCCTCCATGGAGGAAATTCGAGTATATGAGATCCAAATGGCTGTCGGCACACATCAGGACGCCGCCATCCCCGTCGCCGTCGCTGCTCCTTCCACCGCCACCAACTCCACCGCCAACACCGAACGCCAACGCCTCACCCAAACAGATATTTTCCAGCGAATACAAAAAGTCGTCATCCGTTTCTACACCGGAGTTCGCGTCGGAGTGCGGAATTTTTGAGCTGATTTTTGGAGAGGAAAAGACGCCGTCGCAGTCGACGGAGACAAGTCAACTATCTTCACCCGGTGTTTTGCCATCGAGAAAATCCGATGACGGTTTTGACTCGTCGGCGGCGAGGATATGGCAACCGCCGGCGATAAAACCGAGGAATGTGGAGAAAGGAAGTAAATTAGTGGTCACCGGATTAGCTTCTCTTTTCAAAGAGAAAGCATGAAGGAATAAACAAATTTTGGAATTATTTTTTTTTTCTTTTCCTTTTCCCCCTTTACTCGGTTCCCCGAGTTAAAAAAAAAAGAAAAAAGAAAAATTATATGTAAAAAAGAATGCAGATATTATAAGGAAATCCTTTCTCATCCTACTTCATAAATTTAATTATAATTTTGTTGGCAACTATAAATTAATACCATTATGTGTATATATAAATTATGTAAAATTGTTTAGTAAATATATATATATATATATATATATGGAAAGAGAGAGAGAAAAGTTCGTTTGAGAAGTCTAAATATTTGAGAAGTGATTCTATTCTTTCATTTGGTCAACATTTGCAGTTTTGACCGGATAATTCCTTGTATGAATATGTGACGGAAGGTAGTTTTGTAACTTTTATAAATAGACGACAAACGAGTTCATATGTGAACCCATGTGATTAACGTAAAAATTATCATATGTGAACTCATGTGATTCACATAAAAACTATCATATGTGAACTCGTTAATTAGTTCACATGTGATTCATATATAAACTATTCATTTATATATGAATCTGTTAATTAGATCACATTTGAACTATTTAACTGAATCATATATGAAAGAGCATGTTCATATGTGAATTACAATGGTTCATATGTAAATCGGTTAATTAGTTCATATGTAAATTATACGGGTTAATATATGAACATATAGTTCATCTATGAATCACATAGGTTCACACATGAACCCATTTGCCGTCTATTTGCAAAAGTTACGAAACTACCTCCTTTATTTTTCGCATAGCCACAATTTTTTACCAGTCAAAGCCGTAATTCTTGGCCAATCAAATTCGATCTTGACCGTATGAAGAGTTACGATCACTTCTTTACTTCTCAAATAAATAACCATTGGATCAGCTAATCTAACAATTCATGAGACTGTATGGGTCTTCCATTTTTTGTGAATTTTTCCCCTCAACTTCACTTTATATATATACAAACATTTTTTTCTATTACTCAATGAGTTAATGATAACAAACAATTTAAATTAGGTTTTATATTAAAAACTAACAAATAAAAAAATTAAAAAGGTAAAAAAATCATGTTAAAAAACTGTACATTAAACATGGTGTGTCACAAGTTTAACGTGACGTAAGACACAAGTCTTGAAAAACAACACATCATGCCGATTATTACAGCGAGCCTTTTAAAATAATGTTTATAACTATCAAATATATGATATATACATAAAATAATGTTTAATGGTTCTAAAACCCTCTAAATGATTTTGTATATTGGGTCTCTCTTAACCATTAAGCACCCTAATTTTATTGTAAACAATTATATTTTATTTTACACTATATCATGAGAGCCTCTTAATCATTCAGACCATTTAATCATTCTGCACCAAACCATTCAGCAATTGTCAAACAACCTTTTATATGAAACTTGTTTTTAAGGACATCAATGTGAGGCGGTATTATTGTTGAATTACTCACTGGTTGAGGCTAGCGGGAGGTTTGGGAATAAACCGCGGACCTAGGTTTGGGAATAAACCGCGGACCTGTCTTGTATTTGAGTAAAGTCACATCGCCCATTTGTTAACTGAACCACATGTGAAAGGGTATTTTTTCAATCAAACTGATATAAAATTTGGTGCAAACAGTAATTTTATACCAACTAATTATATAACTTTTAAAATCAAATCAAATATTTCTAATTTATCAAGATTTCAATTATACCACTTGTATATTAAGTAGTTGTTTTATAAATTTAAGGGCAAATTGTATGAAAAAGTAACGTACTTTAACTTGATTCCTATTTTGGGTAACGTACTTTCAAAATTTTCATTTTGGTACCTAAGATGTAAAGTTTTAAACACTTAAGTACCCGGGTAACCCATTGAAGACTAATTTTAGACTAAAAAGAAGACTAATTTTAGATTTAAAAAAATCCATGTCACTGACCAGGTCAGTTGGATACCACATCACTCGACAGATCAGCATGATAATCGGTTAATACTTCAACCAGTTACCCGAGTACTTAAATGTTTAAAATTTTACATCTTAGGTACCAAAATAGAAGTTCTAAAAGTACGTTACCCAAAATAGAAATCAAGTTAAAGTACATTACCTTTTCATGCAATTTGCCCTAAATTTAACTATAAGTTTTTCTTCTTGCAAATAACTTTATAAATTATAATATTATAAGTTGTAACAAAATAAATTATTCATATATTTGTAAATAATTAATTAAACTAATTATCATTATTTAAAAAAGTTACATAATGAAATACATTTAGGGGCCGTTTATCAATGTATATCCGGATAAGTGCTTACCGGCAAAATTCAACACTATCAATTACTTACCGGATAAGATTTTATTCCACCAAAATGGTATTGTATGCAACAATTTATCCGGTAAGTGCTAACCATGATAAGAGTTCTCGTCATCACCTACCGGATAAGATTTTTGGTCCTTGTCATATCAATTCGGTAAGGTAATGTAACTTGGTAAACGTTTATCCGAATAAGCGTTTGGTAAACAACCCCTTAAATAAACAAAAAGCTTACATTTAAGCATTTGAATAGTTTTCTACAGATGATCGATTAATGCATTTCATAGATCAACATGAACTTATTTATCCCTTGTTTGTTTATATCGTGCATGAAATTATTGGAATCGACCATTATCATTCATCGCTATTTAATTTTGATCTCTATTGGCTTAACTTCTCTTTAAAGTTTGGTCCATCGAGCTCATGTTCATCTGCAATTAATGCGTGTATGTATTACGTCATGTAGTGATTATATGTTTCGAAAACAAGAGAGGTCCCTTAATAATTGCGAAGCATGATTGAAGAACTCTGAAAGCGTGTTCAATGTCTTTTCGACATGCGTCTTGTTGTATAGCGGAATATTTTCTTGTTATGTATCGTTTATTTCATCGTGTTGTAGTATATGTATACGGTCGTGTATTTTAATTTAAATATGTTATTATGTTTTTAAATAAGCCTGAAACATAAAAATAAAATTTATAATATATCATAAATTAATATAAAAATAAAATTTATAATATATCATAAAAACAAACCAGTTGTTTTTGTGAGACATGTGAGACCACATTTACACTTGAAACGTCACAGCAAAATGATGTGAAGGTAAACTACACAGTGTTTCTATTGTGAAGGTTCGACTTCTTTTTTACCTTCACAATATTTTTCTGTAAAGTTTCAAGTATAAAAAAGTTGTTTCATGTGTCTCACATGAACCCAACTATATATATATATATATATATATATATATTATTACAAAACCTAGTATTAATATATATTCACAGAGAGCTACTTTATTACCTCCAAATATAAAGACCAACATTTTTACCTCCATGGCTCTATTTATTTAGTGTTTAAGTATTGAGTTGGATATGACACCACCTCATGTTTTACGTTTTTAGTGTTGGGTTAGATTTGGCCTAATGTGAGAGGCTAATGGCACCCCTATGTATTACTAATGGCACCCCTATGTTAGGTTTAATTATGATTGTTTTTTGTCTTTTTGTTATTATTATCTTTTGTTTTATTATTATTTAAAAAAATTAATTAATATATATTATTCATTTTATTTTCTGTTTATTTATTTATTTATATTATATTTTAATTAATATAAATTATTAGTAAAT